TTGCCCTCAATCAAGAAATGCTTGATGACGATGCTGTTTGGCACTGTTAGAAAATAACCCTCATTTCATTGAATGGCGGCATGAAACGACAGCCACGGATCGACAAGATATCATTTCTCCACTGACACAAATTCACCAAGACCATGTCGCAGAACGAAGTTTACTCAGATCTTTAGCTAGACCACAGTCTCAGTCGATAACCTGTCTGACGGACAATCCGACTTAATTAACACATGCTGCTGAGACACAAATAAGCGGTCAGCTGCAACAGTGAGAGTGCTTACACAAGTATTGGCGAAGTGCTCAGGGAACATGGAAGCAAATTAGCTGCTACTTCGCACATCAATGACAATACCACAGCTGCATCCCTCTCTCAAATTTCTGTTCCACGTTGAATTAAGTAAAGCATCCGGGTTAATGAGACCGGATTCTTGCTGTCGACTACCTTGCTTGCCAGAAGATAGGTAAGGTACTGTGCGATACATAACCATGTCTTGGGGGACGCCAGTCCGCGATGGACTAACTTTAGTATCATCACTTCTGCACCCCGATCAAGCATGTTGGCCCTTGGATCGAATCTGGGGCGCCTAGACTGAGTGACTAGTTCAACGCCCTCCGTCCCTCTCGATACCCTATGGTGAGAGCCCCATGGATGACCCGCCATAAGTTCCATGTCCAAAAGTGCCATCTCAAGAAAGTTCGGTCAGAAGATGGGGTTGTTGGCTAAGAGGAGACTCGTTATGCAGCGGAATCTCCAAACAGTTGTGTGTGGGCGCCAGCCTGGCTTGTCTGGGCGCTGGGCCAACATTCAACGACTTGGATAACTCGCTCCATGGATGAGACCATGAAGGATGCGTTGCTTCTGGAGGACCTGGCGACAAGGGGTTGTCAAGGAAAATGTAGGGAGGACCAAAACTCTCTGCAGGATCTGGCCGGTATCTTGGCCAACCTCAGTCAGATAATATGCATGGCATGGCATCACGATTTTGACAGGTCTGTCTCCCAAAGCACCCATCCGGCATCACATTGACACGCAACCTGATTTGAGCAAAACTTTGCGTGCTGCATCATTGTCGTTCATCACATAGATGTCTCGCTCAGCCCAATCAAGTCAGTCAAGTGCCTGAGACCTGTCTCGTACTTTTTGCTTTTGCCAGCAACATGGTCCAGTCATTTCCCCAGCCTGCTTCTCCCCTTGCGTATTCAAGCCTCGATTCTGTTGGATGACCTATCTAGCATCCTGCATCTCAAATATTTCTCCACCTCGGAGAAGAAGCTCAATGTCTGATATCCAGCTGCCGCCGTGGGCTCTATAGCGGCTGCATGGGTCAAGTCTCGTTCTGGCGAGACATGCATCAGCCTTTCATGAAAGTTCATTTGACCTGTAATAACGGACGGCACGGCGTTGGCTTCCTCTTGATCTGAAGATACGCGAAGGATCGTTCTTCTCTTCCCGGAAAGCTACTCGACCTCCACACTACCTCGACAACAGTGCCAATGGTAACAAAGGCAAGACTAAGTCAACGGAGATGAGTGAGAATTGGGTGGACATACTAAGAAGTGATAAAGATATGTCACTCTCATGCCCACCAAGGGGCATGGCTCATATCACTATCGCCCATGCCCAACTTGGTAGCAAAGCACTCCACAGAATGACTCGAGATGTGTGGCCGTTCAGCTTGGCATAGACCGGTGGACCGCAGGGCCATCAAGTCGCGCCGACGAGTTCTGGATACCATTGGCCTTCGATTCATAAGTTTAATGATATGGCTGTCCTAACATTACCATCGTGCGAGTCATCTGGTGTAACACTAAGAAGCCTGGTTGAATCGCCAATGGGAGGAGTAAAATAAGTTTTCACCTTTCCAACATTTACTCATCACTACATTGAAAGTAGATATTTTCAGGTATCACTCTATTTGTGTCTCTGCTTTCTCGATATCGTGGTTTCACCCTTAACTGTGCGAAATTTGTCACAAGCTCCAATTCTGACTAGCCTGCACATATAGATAGCCTGTTAGATGTTCGAGTGTGTCAGTCGAGGCATCTAGAGGGCTTTAGATGATTGGCAAGGCCTTACGAGGCGTGAGGGTATATCTCCCAAGATTAGAGTTGATGATGGAAGAAGTCCTTCATCTAGGTCGACACAACCACTTGCGGCAGTAATCACTCTCCCGCATCAGAGATAGGACCGGGTTCTTAGCGTCAATTTATGCATAGATGCAATGTATATGGAACTTGGCGTAACTATTCGTAGACATTGATGCACGATAAATGAGCGTAGAAGTGGTTATACACTATACGATATCGTTGCTCCAGGGACTACATCACTGCGATGCAATTTCTTCCGGAGCCATACATGTCTCAAATATGTAATATCCAAGCTAGGGCCAAAATCGTTTCCCACAGCAAACGCAGTATTGTTGAGTCCTTTCTGAACTTCCTTGAGGCAGACCGCTTCTTTATGCAAGTCAACTCATTCGAAAACAAAAGACATGAAGCCCTAAAACTCAAATTCAGGTCTGAACACATCCGGATCGACACCGGCAACGGTCTTCTCCGCCAAATCCCGGCGACCCATCTGTGTAAAGACGCGCCGGAGGGTATCGTACAGGGTGCTGCTTCGGTTTTGCGCCGACATGCGGTCGAGTGTCTCATCGACGCCGGAGGCATTATCGCCCAGAATCTCGTACGCCTTGCTCCGGCCAGACTTTTCAATGGCCTTGTGCATCTCCAGAGCGGCTAGGAAGTGACAGGCAGCCTCATGGTGGCAGTGAATGTTGATGCAGCTGACACCTAGGTTGTAGCGGGCTCGCACAAAGTTGGGTGCCATAGCAAGGGCCTCCTGGTATGCCGCAATGGCTTCCTCGGAGCGTCCACTATTGGCAAGAGTTGCACCAAGGCGGTTCCAGAGGAGATGAAGCTGCTCCTGTTGGTTGGACGTGCCAACCTCTGATGAGTGGAGGGCAGACTGGAAGCAATCCACTGCTTTGTCATAATCCTCTGCGCCATAAAATAGCACTCCAAGGCCTACTTGCACATCGGGATCCATGTGCTCACCGTCAGGGCTCAGCTGGGCCGCCTTGATAAACAGATTTGTCACCTTGTCATGAAGTTGCTGCCTGTCTGTGAAACCCATCTCTGCGGGGGGGTGTAGGTCTTTGGGATCGAGAATGTTAGGATACTTAACGGACAACCACCTTTCAAGAGTTCGATATGCTGTGCTGTCATATCCTTCATTGGTGTATGATACGGCCAGGCCCATCAAGGCCGCCAAGTTGTTGGGGTCAAGTTTCAGCGCTTGCTCGAGAGCCCTGATGGCCGCCGTCTCTTTCTCATTCTGCGCCTGGGCTGTTCCTAGGTAAACCCACGCTTCGGTATGATTAGGGTTCTGCTGAACAGCAGATTCGAAGGCCAGCGCGGCCAAGGACAGGTTTCCGCCTTCTCTCATGATGCGCACACCCTCCTCGAAAGCGTTCTTCTCGTCGCGAAAGAAGTTGTCTTGTTCGAATAGATAGGTTTCGACGGCCGGGTCCCCGAGGCGGCCCCAGTCGCCCATACCCTCGAAATCGGGCATCATGTTGTTGCTCCATTCGGTATCGAATTGGTCAAAGTCTTGTCTAGAAGCAGCCGTCTCAGCTTGTATTCCTCTCCATATAGATTCGAAGTCACCCAACTCATTAGTTTCGGCCGTTAGACCTTTGTCCATTTCGTTAAGCTCCTGCTCTGCGGCATTTGCCTCTTCTTGTTCTTTAGCCTTATCACTGTCTTGCAGCTCCATCGAGGCGAACTGCTCCTCCCACTTGTGGTCGTCGAGCTCCACGAGGCGGCCTTTGCCCTTGAGGTCCTGCTGTTGTGGTTGGTGCATGGGCTGCTGGTTCTGGTACATAGGTTGGAACATGGGAGTGTAGCCCATCGGTCGGTTCATCATGCCGCCCATCATGGGTCTTTGCTGGTTCATCTGGCTAGGAACGTTACTTTGCATCGGACTCGCTCTCGCGGATGAACCTTGTGTGTTAAGCTGCTGAAAACGTGCAAATTCGTCAGCGTTAAAGTGCGATTGCGCAACAGGTGGCGCCTGGAAAGCTGACTCCATCGCTGGCTGGCCATTGAAGTCGTGCGCCCATGTTGGCGACGCCGAGTTGGCCCGCATATGGGATTGGGCTGGGCTAAGAGGCCCCATCTGTCCCGGCTGCATGGGGAATTCTTGCTGGAGGTTTGGGCCTTGGTTAAGGAAGCCGTTCATCATCTATAGCATCAAGGTTGGAGTATTAGTAATAGCTTCAACGGCCGTGTATTGGCAGCGCACCTCATCCTGGGGCGCATTGGCGCTCTGGCTCCGAAATCCATTGAGCTGTCCTCCAGGCCCTCGGCCAACTAGACGGTCTTGTTGGAGTGTTCTGTCATTCTGAGTATGCTTATGAAGCTGGCTGAGGGGGTTCGCAGATGTCGAACATTCAGCGCCACCCATAAACGACATGACGGTTGGCGTTCAGTAGGATGAGTCTTGAGTGATCGGGTATGTCGGTAAGCAAAAATGAATTATGAGAGTTTTGGATTCGATGATGTGTTCTCGCTTTAAGGATTATGAGAAGATAGGTATGAGTTGTAGTTTACAGTTGAGATGGAAGAGGGTCGAACAGGATCCTACTGTGAGCTAGCGAAACCCGAAGTGATGCCCGCGCTATGGCGGGGAAAATACCGAGGCTCCGCCGTCTTCCTTGCCTTTATCGGCAGTACTTACCGAATATGAAGATAACGGTGCCGCACGTGACTGCGGGGTGGCCCAAAGTCAACGAGCAGGGGTCTCACCGAGCTAACAAGGCAAAAGGGGACCATTACTTTCGGTGAACGGTGAGTACTAAGGTAGCGTGCAGGCTTTATCGATAAGAACATTTTTTTTCCTTCGTTCCTACCTACCTTATTCTCCCGATGCTACAAGCCAACCTCCCACCTTGAAGTCTCACTACCGAGGACATTTATCATCCCCAATTAACAAGATGCTCAGACAAGTGTATGTCAAGCCGGCTGCCAACCGCAAGTGTGATTCCATAAACTAACAGTCATGAAGTAAACCTCGCAATGCGCGCTCAAAGCGAGCCCTCGAGAAGCGCGAACCAAAGGCAAACGAGAATCCCAAGACGTGCCTCTTCCTCCGCGGGACAACATGCTCTCAGATAATCCAGGATGCTCTCAATGACCTTCATCAGATGCGCCAACCTCTCGCTAAGAAGTTCACCAAGAAGAACGCCATCCATCCCTTTGACGACGCCGCCTCGCTCGAGTTTTTCTCCGAAAAGAACGACGCCAGTCTCCTCGTTTTTGGTAGCAGCCAGAAGAAGCGTCCTCACACCTTGACCTTTGTTCGCACCTTTGGTTACAAGGTCCTTGACATGCTTGAGCTGTACCTCGACCCAGAGAGCTTCCGTGCTATTGCTCAGTTCAAGACGAAGAAATTCGCCATTGGCCTGCGGCCTATGATCCTGTTCGCTGGTACTGCTTTCGAGAGTCCTGTCAGCAACGAGTTTACCCTTGCGAAGAGTGTGCTCCTTGATTTCTTCAAGGGCGAGCCCAGTGACAAGATTGACGTCGAGGGTCTCCAGTACATCATCTCCATCAGCGCAGAGGATAGCACTGGCGACGGCGATGTTAAGCCCGCCATCCACTTGCGAGTCTACACTATCAGCACCAAGCGATCCGGTCAGCGTCTCCCCCGTGTCGAGGTTGAGGAGATTGGTCCTCGCATGGATTTCCGTGTCGGCCGAGTCAGGGAGCCCGATGAGTCGATGCTCAAGGAGGCCTTGAAGAAGCCTCGCGGCATCGAGGAGCGCACCAAGAAGAACATCACAACTGACTCTATGGGTGACAAGATTGGCCGCGTGCATCTGGGCAAGCAGGATCTCAGCGAGCTGCAGCTCCGCAAGATGAAGGGTCTGAAGCGAAGTCGAAAGGATGCCGAAGATGCGGTGGATGTCGTTGAAGAGGAGGAGTCCAAGAGGATAAAGCAATAGTAGATGTGCGGCATTGTATGCTTGGAGTTGGGCGTCTAGGAAAAGGTCTTGTAAAGGCTGCGTCAATAATTGATTTACTGGGTTCGATCCCTAAAGATGACAGATCCTGTTCTATTTCTAATTGAAGTTTCTGATATTGCTGTCATCTCTCCTCCGCGAGTCAGTCATAGTGTCTACCTAGATACAACTGCTTGAAGCAAGGCTAGCGCCTCCTTATATATTTCAATTATTACAAATCGTTTGCTGGACGATATCATATACATGACAACATTCGAGGCCCCGAATGGCATTTCTCTTTTGTAACGACATTATATACTAATTAAACCGAGATCAAAGTCCAAGGCCCCCGCTTCCAGCGACGACCTGGACACTTGTGCTGGGTATGCAATATGGAGCAATGAAAGCACAAGTTCAAGCTTCGCTTGGGCATGCTTGATCTCATTGTAATGTTTCCCGTACCTGGCTGAACCCTTCAACTCGTAAGTCGTGATCGATGATAGGCTTGCTACTGTGCTGATTAACACAATGGCCAAAGTCCTGTGAGTGCCTGGCAAATAATCTCGAACATTAGGCTTTTCCCTCCTCGGTAGATTATCGCGGGCGAGAATGTAATCGGGATGTAAGGCGCCATATGATCTCTTATACAAGTGATCATTTGGACCATCTAGTCTCGATACGTCTTGACATAATCACTGGTTCCGAGTGCGAGGAATTGGTCGTGAATCATCAAGTGGAGTGATGTTAGCCGTCCTCTTATATCGAGTGTAGATGGAAAGCATTTCTTGTTGACTAGCGACATGCTGAAGCTGGTCACCAACAAGATATTGAAAGGCCGCGAGACCAGCTCTAAGCCCTAGGGCCCGGCCATCATTGCTGTGCATGGCTGCCACGACCCTTCAGTCAGGTGAGTCAGGAACGATGAGATCCTCATCTGCAATGGGAATAGGAGGCTGCGCATGCTGGTGCAACATCTCAGCAAATATCTCAATGTGCTGTGTCATGGAGCCGACAGTCTGTTGCTCTGGTGCCTGCTCTTCGAGCTCCGTGCCCCAGATGTCTTGTGGGATAGAGCTGCCGTCCAACAAAGCGATCCTTATTGGCCACTCAAGGTGCCGCCACCACTTAGATCCGGGTTCGAATAAGCTGACCAGGCCCATGACCTCTCGACGAGCCACATCTTGCAACCACCATACGTTATCCATTCGCTTCAGCAATGCAAAGAAGCAAGCCAGGATGGCCAGAGCACGGGGGCGTCTTGCATCAACAAGATCAACGTAGCGCTTCGAAACAGTAGCAGGAAAAGTGAGTGCGGCAGCTGCGTGATAGTTTTTATGCGCCCAGTTGAGCACGCTAACGGCATGTGAGTAAGCTTGAGTGGTTGTCGAAAGCAAGCGAGGATCTTCGTTCATTAATTCATCGTTTAACCCTTCTAGCATATGGCCGAAGAATGAGTCAGGCGAGCGCGGGTTGAGGTTCAGTTGGAAACCAGGTTGTGAATCAATGACAACTTTGACGATGTCGCTGTGGTGGATCCATTGCCACGAGTTTGCGACGACAGTCTTGACGCCTTGAAAGGCATGGAACCAGGAGAGCGGCGGCACATATCGACTTGTTGAATCCCCAGGAGCAGAATCTCCGTCGTCCTTGACAAAGATGCGCGAGGCACTGGCTTGGAAAGCAATGAGCGTCGCTGTGAGGAACAGAGCCTCCGCATTGTCAGGTGTAATGCCCGAGCCCAGCGATGCCCCAAATGCAGAAAGAGAGGAGGCCGAGTAGGCATGTGAAGCGCGTACCAATGCCTTGTCATTCGGAGACATTGAGCGGAGATGGAGGGCTGCGACAGACAAGATGGCGTCGGCAAGGTACGTCTTGCCGTTGCCAGAGAAGGCCATCTGTGGGACGGCACGCTGCCAGATGTCCTCGGCGGCAGGCGAGTTGGTCAGGAGCGTCTTAGAGGTGACATTGGTATAGTGATGCATCAAACGCAGCTCGAGCATTCGTTCGCCATGGTCTACGGTGTTGGTGGACGAGCTTATCGAAGGTTGCGAGTAGACGGAAGTTGGAGGAGAAGGATTTGGTCGCGGCGCTCTTGCTGGACTTGAAGGGGCACGTGGGCGTGGTAGCGGAGTTCTTGGAGCGGAATTGAAGTTGACAGTCGGCGCAGGCGAGGGAGTAGGTGCGCCGATACTCTCAGTACTGGTATTAGTTGATATGGCGAGTTCTTCGAGGACGTCGGGGTTGCTGAAATCGCAAGGAACGCCGTGCTTGGCACAATTACCACATCGTGGGTGAACCTCGTCGCACTACAACCAATGGGGATTTCGAGTCAGTCCAAAAAAAGATCAAAAGTCTGGGGGCGATTCGAGCCAATGCGAAGAATGTTTATGTTTGAACGACAAGCGCGCAATATGGTGCGATGCGTTGAGGCATAAGCAGAGGATCGATAAGACCTACTTTTATCTTCCTATTCTTACACCTCCGACAACCCGCCCGAGACTTTTTGTGAGAGCGTCGAGGAGGCATGATGGATTGGGAAAGGGGGCAAAGGAGGAAGAAATATGTAATTTGTTTGTTTCACGTGTCGTTTGTCAACAATTTCCCTGAGAATGTATGGAGAGGGCCCTGAAATGCGAGCAGAACCGCAGCATGGCCGCAGAGGCAAGGGGGCCTCTCTACACGGACGGTTGGGCTTTGGGTAAAGGAGAAGCAACAGCAGACAGCAGAGAGAGAGGGAAGAGAGATTATTGTAAGGAAGAGAATTCCATGACGCGTGTTGAAGAACGAAGAGAGGCGAAATCGTGGTTGAGCACGAAACGGTAAAGTTTCTCGAACTTGAGGGCAGAAGCTGGCAGTTAGGTACCGTAGTTACTGCTGAGATTCCCCGTTTGGAGCAAGTGCGGTGAAGGAGAATCTGGTGCTATTGTGATGTGATGAGATGCAAATGAGGGCAGAAGAGATGCAGCCAGCAGCCACCGCGCACCATGAAGTGGAGGGGCGGTCCCGTCGGCAGGACAGCCTAGTGGAGCTTGGAGCGTCGAGTTGGCCCCCCGGTTCAGCGCAGTTCTAACCTGTCATGGCCTTCTGTTGGCGTCTACAGCGAATGGGAGCTGGGAAGGCTGCACTGCCACAGCCAGTCAACAGGGATATGGCCCTGTCCTGTCGTGTGCTTCCCGTCTCCTCTGGTCCCCGAGCCCTCCTGATACCTATTGCTTGCTGTGCGTGTCGGGGATGCTTTTGGTATGTATCAGCTTCTCGTTGTGGAGCCCGAACATCGACGCTTTGTCGATTGTGTCCTTCGCCTAAGGGACCACGTAGGCAGGTGGACTGAGGATAACATAAAAAAGGATGAGGACGGCCCGGATACCACCAGATGGTTTTCGTTTCTTTTGATCATCATCAACTCAATGGCACAATGGGCTGAACGAGAGACAGACAGGTCGCAGAGGACCCTGTGAGAGGAGAGACATCCATAACTTAGTACTCAGACAGCTGCAAAAAGGTCGCACAGATTGAAAGATTACGCATGGACCCCTATCCAGGCGTACTATGGCGTATTCCAACCAACATGACAGCCTCAAGGCCACTCCAGTTCAGACTCATCTTGATGTCAATCGGGTGAGATAAGTTGTTCCGACTGAGGCTGTGTCAACTGGACGTCAATGGCAACTATGACGGGTAGATACCTAGATAAAGGATGCATCGAGATATCAATCTTCCGTCCAAGAGTACCTACATACAGAATATGGGGGTTCTCCCTCTGTCGGATATTGGGGTGGTTTGGTGGTCCGATCGTATCATGAGATCTACCCTCCTTTGGGGACACGGGACGATAGCGTCCAATGAAACCACGACAGCCTGTCAGACTGAGAAAACGTTGAGTCGTCGGGGATGTGGTTATTCCGAGGGTTAGGATGAAGGATTCAAAGACATTCGGTGCCTGTAGATTTGGATGACGTTTCGAGATTAATTGATGGATGTGTTATTATGATGCATTTTCAAGTTGATCTGCGGCCTCCGTACTCGTATCATAATATCTATTACAGGCTAGCCACCTTCCTACCTTAGTAGGCAGATTTAGTTCCCCGTTGTCCAAGGGAGGGTACTTACTACAGGTAGTGTACCTTAGACAGAAGCCAGCTGGTCCAGACATTATTACTTGTGTGTACGGGAACAGAATATGGCATAAACTACAGCATAGGTAGGTATTTTATGCCCAAATGCCATAGACTTTTACAATCATACTATGCATCTCTGAAAGAAAAAGTCAGAGTTAGTTCCCTCATTCCATAACTATTCTTACAAGGGTTCATGCATGTTTTTTTCAAGGGTGCTGTTCGTCGTGACTATCGGTTAAGGCAGCAAAACGAGGCTAAGGCATTAGAATTGCTAATTCGGTCCAACATCACTTACTCCGTACTCCGTACATCTAGGTATACGACAGAGTAAGGTATGGAGTAATAAGAGTACAAAAGGCCCTTATCAACTCTTCTTATTACAGTCATTGAAGTTCCTGGCTTCCTGTTAATTTAGTATACCACATCTTCTTTGGTAAATCTCAACGAACGATAAAATCATTAGACTCTGTGCTAAATTTGGTCTTGTCCGTAATCTGTTGGTGCCAGCATCAGATCTGCTGACTCCATTTCCGGGCGGACATGACGACACGAACAATCACGACATCGTCGACCTGCAAGGAACCGCCCTGCAGGTGTCACAAGAAATGACCCCATTTTAACAAGAGCTTATAATCTTATAACTTATAATATAAACCTATTTAATAAGAAATAAAATACTAAAAAAATACTTTTTAAGATCTCTAAAACTTATAAATTTATAAAAAGATATTTTTTATATTTTTACTTATATTATATAGCTTAAAAAACTAAAACTAAAATTTATATATAAAAAGTCTTTATTTTAATTTCTATTTTATACTTTTTTATAAAGGATTTTAAATTAAAAAAAGTATATAATAGATAGATTTTATTATTAAACTATATAATAAAACTTATATTATTTTAATAACTATTTTTATAGAATTTATATAGCTTTTTAAAATCGTAGAGATTTTGGTGAGGTCTTGGTGAGTGGGGTCATTTCTTCTGACACCCACTAGACCGCTTATCTTTTATGGCAGCTCTCTCAAGGTGTGTGAGACTTTTGCGGGGGACACGGGACACGGGACAATCACGAATGCATTCAGCCTCTGTACCTAATGTGAATTGTGTTGCAGCCACACAAAGAGTTTGGTAAAGAAGAGGTTGTACACACCAACCGAACAAATCCTTGCACGGGATGTCGGTCATGGATTCTATTTGACAATCACGACTTGAGCTGATGCGCTGATTCCAAAGCAAAAGGCCGAGTTCTAATTATCAGACAAACACTCGTTGTTCTACCTTCTAGTGTATCTTAGTAGTCTACCTTATTCGACTTACAAATGTAAGGCATGTAATGGAACAAGCCATAGAAGGAATCACTTCATGAAATCCAATTGTATAATCTAGGCGCTAGAACAAATGGAAATTTAATATAAATCATGAGAGCCCATTTTTTCCCTTCGCTGAACCCTTCCATGATTCCACAATCCCAGCATCCCAATCTGTCTAACTGATCCTTAAGCCGACGATATCTGTCTGTACTTTGTACACCGAGAGCCGATACCCGACCACGAAAAAACACAACGCAGCCAAAGTTGCATGTTTTTTTTTTTGGCACACGAGTCACTCCCTAATCAATTCTTTTTACGTTTATTTACCCTCTGAACGATACATTATTAATCCCATTGAGTCAATTTCCCCGACAAGTTGACTTCTCACCATCGTCTTTTTGGCTCTTGAAACTTTTGATCCCTTGCTCAAGAGGCTGCTGTGACGTGATCGTCAAGGTTTCAAACCCACCTAGATCTCTGAGACTTTCTGTCTGTCTTATTATCGACGACACGACATTGCTCCTTCAGGACTAAACTCTACGCCCTCCGCCTTTTGCGCATCATCTCGACCCTGGATCGCGTCAAACCGAGGCTTCCCTTTGTTTCTCTGTAACTTGGCGCAGCAGAATTGCATCCAGTACCTTAGCTACCTGACCTTACCTAGCTCTGATATAAAAGGGTCCCCTCTCACGTTCCCCATACCTATTACATTACACAACAGACCAGGGCAACACAGGACAAGGGGAAAAAGGCTTTTTTCCCTCTTTTTTCTACCCTCCAGCCCCGCCTGGACCTCCACTTGCTTGTCGCTAGAGCCCAGAGTACTAATATATCTACCTATATCAACATCTGTCACCACATTCATCCCACCTCAACCTCTCTTCCTTACTTCACCTCAACTCGCCGACTTTCTTCAGCGTATCTTCGACCTCGTCTCTAGGCTCTCTCGAGGCTCAATTATATCCCCTCTCCCTCTTTCGCACCCTCAGTCAATCCTCAGTCAGCTACAATGTCGGCTGCTCCTCTTAACTCGGACCCTGTGGCCACCCCACCTCGCCCTCCGTCCCCCGTCCACAGCTTCGGTACTCTCGCCGTCCACGCCGGCGCTCCACATGACCCCGCTACCGGCGCCGTGATTGAGTCCATCTCCCTGTCGACCACATTTGCTCAGTCCGCCGTTGGCAAGCCCGTTGGCGAGTATGAGTACTCCCGATCCTCCAATCCCAACCGTACCAACTTCGAGACCGCTGTTGCTGCTCTCGAGCATGCCAAGTACGCCCTCGCCTTCTCTTCCGGTTCCGCCACCACCGCCACTATCCTCCAGAGTCTCGCTGCCGGCAGCCATGTCATCTCCGTCTCCGACGTCTATGGAGGTACACACCGATACTTCACCCAGGTCGCAAAGGCCCATGGCGTCAAAGTGACCTTTACACCAGAGATCGAGGTCGATATCAGCGAGCACATTACCCCTGATACCCGTCTGATCTGGATCGAGAGTCCTAGCAACCCTACCCTGCGCCTCGTCGATGTCCGAGCTGTTGTTTCTGAGGCTCACAAGCATGGTGTCCTCGTCGTTGTCGACAACACTTTCCTTTCCCCTTATGTCCAGAACCCCCTCGATTTCGGTGCCGACATCGTTGTCCACAGTGTCACCAAGTACATCAACGGTCATAGCGATGTGGTCATGGGTGTTGCTGCTTTCAACAGCGACGAGCTCAAGAACCGCCTGAGCTTCCTTCAGAACGCCATTGGCGCGGTTCCCTCAGCATTTGACTCCTGGCTTGCTCACCGTGGTCTGAAGACTCTGCATCTACGAGCTCGTGAGGCCAGCCGCAACGCCGACGCTGTAGCCCGAGCTCTTGAGGCCTCTCCTCTTGTCATTGCTGTCAACTACCCCGGTCTTGACTCTCACCCTCACCGACATATCGCCAAGAAGCAGCATCGTGATGGCCTGGGCGGTGGCATGCTCTCCTTCCGCATCCAGGGTGGTCACGCTGCCGCTGAGCGTTTCTGCCAGGTGACCAAGATCTTCACTCTCGCTGAGAGCCTTGGTGGTGTTGAGAGTCTGGTTGAAGTTCCCAGCAGTATGACTCATGCCGGTATCCCTCGAGATCAGCGTGAGGCTGTCGGTATTTTCGACGACCTCGTTCGCATCAGCTGCGGTGTTGAGGATGCCCAGGACCTTACCAACGACGTTCTGCAGGCCCTCGAGAAGGCTACATCCGCGGCCAAGACCAACGGTTTCAACGGTAACGGCAACGGCAACGGCAACGGCGTTAACGGCTCCTAGGCGCATATCCCAATGGTTTTTCCCAGTCCGTTTTTCGTTTATTTAGAAGATGATCTATGATGACATGTTGTGAGAAATATTTCCTTTGTTTGAGGATGCTCTAAAAGCAAATATAAAGATAGGGACGTGCTTCATTCAAGGCCCCCCTGGGTTGGCATTTATATAGCGGCTATGGTCAAAACTGATGTAAATCGCATCTCTTTGTTATTGAGGCTTGAATGACAAGCTACCTGAAGAATATTATTTCGATTTCTCGAAGTTGTCTATGGCCCAGTGGGTCGTGATATCTCGTCGTGACATAGGTGCCCCCGGATCCTAGTTAAATACGTTCGTCGTCAGAAGGTGGGATATTAAACAAGTTTTCCGTGAACTCGTTTGCCATACTATTCTCGGCAGACCACTCATTGCGACGCCGATGTATCTCACTCATGCCTTCACATGCCGTCTCGGCGATAAAATTTAACTCATCAAGAGTGTTGGAGTTGCAATTTGGGAACACACCATCGATGCTGCGTTGCCACTCTGACGTCGAATTCGCGACAGCCGTCTGGTACGCATTAGTATCGTATTCAGCCACCCCCAGTGCACGGTTCCGTGGGAGCAGGTTGTGCAGAAGGCTGTCGAACAGTGCGTCCGCGGGAAGGTATTCAACTGCATCTTTAGTAAGAGCCGTAGGTTGGCGGATTCCCATGACCACTTCAACAAAGCGCTGAGAGATGCTTCGGCCAAGACCACAGGGGTCAATGAGGTCAAACTCTGGCTGTGTGGGCATATCTTCTAGCATGTAGTGATCGTAGGCCAGGAAAGATGCTCGGCAGATTCTCAGATGCGGTGTTGCACATCTCAGCGCCATAGCAATCCAATGGCAGTCATCCCCTGGACGTTGGTTAGGCATACCAACCCAAAGGATTTTCTTAGAATCCTCGTTCCAGTCGCGCGATTGCTCGACCTTGAGATATACTTCGTTTAAATAAAGCTCTCGAAGTGTGGTCCCAAAATTCTCCGCAGTACGGACAAATACCTCTGGGCACAACTCGATCCGTTTGAGCTCCAAGCATGTGAGATTAGAGTGTATGACATTGGGCGCCGGTAATGACTTTGCACGCCACTCGTCAACAGGCATCTGCCAGAATTTCGTCTGTTTTAGACCTCGTGGTGGGCGATCATCGTGGTCCATCCCTACCAAGCAGAGACTCTTGAGCTCTCCCGCGTTCTCGACAAGGTTCCAAAGGCAGGATCCGAATAGTCCCACGGTTATGGGCTCGTTCTCGTGTCGCCGTAACGTCAAGACGAGGTGTTCCAGCACCTCCAAAACTTTCATGATGTTCATCACATCGATTGGGTTCATCCAGAGGTGGCGTATGGCTACATCGGTCACATTCTCTATGACAAGGGTATTGAGCTTCGCTGAGTCTTCCTCGGGTCGCTGCGCAAAGGCTTTCAATGTGTTGGCCAGGATCATTGTGGCGGCGTTACAATGACGGCCGACGAGCTGGAAGGGGAGATTAAGTCGTAGACGGTCAACGTCACGGCAGTAGAATAGCATCTCCTCGACCTTCTGATAGTAATCCGTCTCCGTGAAAGATGTTTCGTTCATGCAGTATTTTTTGTGTAGTGTTTGACAAAAGTCCGCCATAGACGGGACTCGTGCAAATACGGTATCAAGGAACTCGACTTCCACTGGCAATCATCAGTTAGCCACCACATATGCGCAGGCCAGGGGTTCGGATACTCACGGTCATCTCTCAGAACCATCAGGTCAATGTATAGGCTCTTGCAATGATATCCTATCGTCTGGAGTGCGTCTATTTGTGGGTGTTCTATACCGCTCGTCTTGCTCAGGCGCGAGAATTCCAGGTCCAGAGTCCGGCATGCGAACGGCTTAAGAATCTGGTCAAAGACGCGGCAAACGAGCCGAAGATCGAGGACTGCATTCTTGGGGCCATATTCGACACATTGCTGAAGTATCGCGTCGATCAGTTCGCGCGGTAAGCGATTCATGATAAGCAATATCTTGTGTAGTTCTGCTGATGGAGTTGGCTGATTGCGGGTAGAGGAGGAAATGGAGGGGTCTGCAACAGTTGATATGCATCGAGCGCTGCTGTGTGGCTTCGGAGTTCATTCGAGAGTTGCATGAGAGACCAAGGTCCTTAATTTTGTCAGAACATAACTCATCAAGCCTGTACCGTATGGCAGAGAACGTTTGATTGACGGGCAGACACACGGCCTAAGGGCCGTAAGTACCCAGGAGGTAGGAGGTAAGTAGTTGAAGTTGGAGTTGTTAGGTTGGGCTTTCAACCAATGGAGTTCAGGAGCTGAGATCATCATGCAGGGACCCGACCGCGTTACTTGACGCCAGGGGAGCTCTCCACCCCCACTGATTCCACTGAAGCTTCGCATTTTGGTACAGTGCTAATGAAGTCAGCTACCCTAGATCCAACAACTTGCATCCATCTGAAAGTGAGATATCACCATGCCCTCTCCTATTGATAGAAACGCCAGTTCCTACCTTGCCCATATTTTCCATCATATGTATTTTTAAAACACCCTGTTTTGAAGAATGGAAAAGTCTCACTCGTAGATCAGGAGCAGTTGGGCGGAGGAAGTAGATTAACAACGGTGTAACTAATGGGATATGACAGTACCCATTGGTGAAATCAAAATCTAGGAATTCTACGGAATTTATCGAACCATAGGAACGAACATTCCTCCCACCCAAAGCAAGCCCCAGATTATTCACAAAAAGGGGCGACAACGAATATAGTTGAAACCTCTGAAAACCGAAGACTCGAAAGTTGGTGTTGTTTATGAATATTCCATGATGACGAATGATTGCGTTGTCTTAGATATGACAGAAAACCACATGGGACTCGGAAAATCGTGCCGAGCCGCTAGGGAATGCAACGAGATACTCATATAAGACCGTAATTACTCTCTGATCGAGACGGAAAAAACGGCACCATGTTGTGCCCTTCAAAAAGGAGTCTTGCTTTTGCGGAATATCGGCAGGCATAAACTGGAACAAACATGAAGCCATTGGTTCTAGCCGCGTAAGAGCCAGTTCAACTCAAATCTACTCTTATCATACGCTGGACGCGTAGGTCGATGACAACGCCTGATCGGCTCCCTTGGCAGCGGTTGAAGAGAGGTGAAGTTAAAAGGCGGCTAGTGACCTTAGCCATCCGCGATGTGGCTGCAGGGGCGCTAAAAGAGTCCAGAAGTCTGCGAGCCTGGGCAACATCCGCGCTCCCTCCTAGCTCAACGAATGCCAACAGCAAGAGCCCTCGTGATAAGACTATGAGAGGCTGGTCAACCGCCGAGCTGCCAACAGTAAAGGCAAAAGAAAGCCACCTCCTAGCCACGGCACCAAATTGATGGTCACACATAGGTTCGAAGGTCCTCAAATCGTCTAGCCTCTCAGCGTTCTCTCCTCTCGCCTGTAACTTGGCATTTGGTAGCCAACAACAGAAGATTCAAATCCCGGGAATGATACCTCCACAGCCATGTAGTCTCGCTGGGTCATAGGCCTGGATCTTTCTATGCCACCCAAGTGAATCTTAAGCCAATAAGCCATGCCCTCCTTGATGGGCAACTTAGAACAGCAGCCACAGATATTGTACGTGTACGTGGAGCTGAGTTGATCGTGTCTGGGGTGCTAGTGAAGTTTCTCATTGGTGAAAGCTGACACAAGCTTGTCAACGAGACCTCGTTTGAAGGCCGGCCTCGGTTTCATCATGGGGAATTGAGAATGAATGAATGATGCGGAGTTCCCAGACCGTGGTCCCTCAACATGGCCAGGATAAACTAACTCCAGATCAACTCCATACACAGACTGCCAGTGACTTCAAGAAGAAAACAGCCTGTTGACACCTGAACAGGGTAGAGAAAATGGTCAGATTAGTTCGTGACGGGGATAATGGAGTGACGCACTTTACATGGGACGAGACAAGGGACAAGGGAACGCGGACCAAGGGTGGATAAGAAATTGCGCTAACCAAGTCTTTTATCATCCACTTGTCACTATGCTTGTTGAGCTGCTTCTTCTTCGGTGAAAAGCGAGAGGGGGAAAACAATACCATCATGGGGCGTTTATTTTCTCTGCCAGATGTGGAGAGTCTCGAAATTGCTGAAAAATCGATACAACGAAACATGAGATCTCTTTAGTAACCACAGGATTCGACTCCCAAAACCAATTCGAAACTCCTGTATCATAATTTAAAGAAATAGCATGCAAGGGCTGTAAATGAAAGTATAGACATGGTGGATGGAGATAACCTACCCAACATGAACAAAAGGTCCGAGTGTCTGATACAACCATCGGCGCTGAAATGCCGTGACGCCGTTGGAGAAAGAGTCGCATCTTGGCGAATTTCGTTCTCCATGACATAACATGATAATGAAAATTGCCTTTGCCTTTTCCCGTTTGTTCCGGAATAGCGCGTCTGGGCAGATCGGTCTCCATATCTTTTAGTCGCGCAGCAGAACCAGCCTCTCGCCAAGTAAACATTGCCCAGCCAACCCCCTCAGTTGCAGCTGTTGCAGAGATAGAATCTCGAAGTGTGTACTCGATATTGAGAAACAACCATGCTTCTGCTCCTGTGCTTGGTTCTGTTGCAAGCACGGAGAAATATGATGATATGGTACACCAATAAGATGGTCCGTGCCAGAAATCAGAGACAATAGTGATGCAAAACGTCCGAAATCATTGGCTCGTCTCATATATGGGCCTGCAATCTTTAGATGCTGGACGGACTTTTTGCTCGCCTGTGAGAACCGACGAAACCAAGTCACAGCTCTCTACTCCGTAATAATTATGAGAATCGCTGGTAACACGAGCCTAAATTTTGGACTTAGTACCACAAATTGAAAAAAAGAAAAGGCCGACCCTCTAGGCTATACACTAACCGTGTATTGTTATGAAGCTATTTTCTTCTTCTTCGTTTTTAAACTTTTTCTCTCTTAGGAGCTTGATGCTAAAGGCCGCCATATTTTCCCAGTATACCTTGAATGTAGTTGCTAGGGAACCCTTGTGCTTGGAGAATTTCAGTATGTGTTGGACTGAGAATGAGAGTGAGACTGGGACTGGGACTGGAACTGGTAGACTGGACACCGCTGGAATCTAGCGCGATATCGAGAGCTCAATCTAGTGCCCGTCAACGTGCATAAGAGGATCCTGGTCCTCGGGGGGCAAGAAAACAACGGACCTTGATATATAGTGTAAAAATAAATACAGTAAAAGTGATCCTAAGCTTGGGCTATATCATCTGAACATTTTTGTCATGTAGGATCGAGGTCCTGAGTTTTCTTTCCTCCCCTAGCCTGGTCACCCGTAACTACCTTACCTTAAGTGAGTGACAATTGATTGCTGATTGTGTCCCACTTGTTCGGTCCCAGCCGCTTGCCTGGGCCTTGTCACTCCATGCGAGACGGGTTTCCCCCCCGGAGAGGATGAACGACATCTCGATCGTCCATATGGGAGGCGGCGAAGGCGCAGCTTGCCTTGGCTTCACGACTCTGGCTCCTACCTTGGGGATATGGAAAATCATGGTGGTTGAGTAGTAGCCATCGCGACTAAAACGGAAATGGCGCTGGCCAAGCTCGACTAGGGTCAATATGGTGTGAGTGGTAAGTGGCTAAGACAGGGAAGGTGTGGATACGATGTGACCTCTAGCCGAGCTGTGCCTGTGCGTTTTTCCCTTGTTGAGAGACGGGGAGACTTTTGCAGCGAAGTCAATGGCGGATGTCACCAGGAGGATGTTCTATTGGCCAGATAGCCCATCGACTTGCCCGAGATGGAGATTCTCATGGGTTACGGGTTGTGGGCACTTTATGCCGGGGCCGAGTTCCAGTTCGAGTTCCATCGATTTCAGTGTTATTTTCCAGTGTTTACAGAGGCCCCTACCTAACTGAGTCTGGAAGCACGGTCTTGTCTAAGGCGGGCAAGGTAATCAAACCAAGGCCAGTCGCAAGTGACGGCACCTGCCCAGATAAAGCCAAAGCCAAGGGACACAGAAAGTTGGCCTAAGGTAGTTAGCTACTATCCGCACCTGCCCAAACTCTGTTGCTGGCTGTTTCTTTCCCGTCGTTTAAAACCTAAGCTACTCTCCGCCTCGTCATTCTCCTCTCTTCCTTCCGCGTTCCGTTTGCATCAGAAGACCCTCTTGACCCAAAGCATAAGAAGGATCTCAACCTCAATTCTTCCACTTGCAAAATCAACTTCTTGCAAAACATCGATTCATCATCGTTCCACTTATTCCACCGCCTTCATCACGATAATCGTCTCACAATAGATCCATAAACACTCTACCCAAACATTATTCACGATGCGTTCATCTTTTGCTCTCCTCGCCATGGCCGTCTCGGCCGTCTCTGCCCAGACGACTGTCCAGAACTACAAGAGCTCCCTTGACATGACGATTGACCCCAACACTGTGGATCTCGCTACCCGATGTACGTACTGAGAAAGGAAAAATTACATTGGCCGGCGTGCTAACATTTTACAGCTTCCTGGTGTGGTGCCCAGCAGAACACCTGTGATGCTCTTTGCAAGGACGACACCAACGAAAACCAATGTACCGAGGTATGTAGTACCATTCAAATCACTTTCTGGCCAGCGTGAAGCATGCTAACACTTCATCAAGAGCGATCTCAAGTGGGAATGCACATGCTCCTCCAACAGCTCGACTCCCGGTCTCCAGTACTACACCCAGACCATGCCTACCTTCATTTGCGAGGAGCTTTTTAGCCAGTGCATTTCGCAGAACACTGGCAGCCAGTCTGGCCAGAGGGATTGCACTTCTAAGATCGAAGATAAATGCGCCAAGCAGAGCCCCCCTAAGGACGTGGTTAGCGACGATGACGGCGATACTTCCAGCACTGCTACCGACACTGCTACTACATCCGCCACTCGTACCTCATCGGAAGCCACTGGCACTGCCGAGTCCGTGACATCGACGAGATCCGATGCTTTCGCTGCCCCTACCATGGCGCCAGCGGGTAGGGGTGCGGCCGCCGCTGTTGCTCTCGGCATGCTGGCCTACATGATCTAAGTGTCGGAGGATTAAGCATGGGTTGCTACATCAGCAGTGCTACGGCAATATCCTGGCCCCCCATCACGTGCCACCCGTGGCCGATGAGTAGCAGGGTCTGTATCCTGTGCACGGTTCTTCACTTCTCTTGCCCATTTTATTTTACAATACACCTTTTCGACGTGCAATGCGATACCTTTTGATGAGTATAAGACCCAACGATGTAGCTTTGATAAAGCTTGGATGAGGTAATGACACGCTTCGGCGTACCGACTGGCGGGTTGAAAGACCGGGGGTGCTGTGTGCCTTTCACGGGGACGACGGAGAGGTGCACTGGCGAGGGTGGGTGGTGGTTATTTGTTTATGCTTTACAATTCAATACGTTCATAGCAAGAGGCGAAAGGAGTAGGAAAACTCGATCACTTTGAACAAGACAAAGAAATAATGGCTTGATCTTCAGCTCTTTGAAAGCCTTTTGGACTATGTGTTTTGTGTCAATTCTTTGTGTGACTGTACAATGAAATGCCGGGGTGTTCTCTCGACTCAGTATGTGGTGTTCTTCTGAGCTGCCGAAGATGACAATCGTATGTATTGAACAAGTCGCCTTGGTAGCATGCTAACGACTAATAGGCAGGGACCGAACTTCCTCAAGTCATGTACATATAAAGAGCCGATGCCATCTCTTGGTCGATCAGTCTCAAGGAGCCAAAGGGATCTGGTATCAAAAATCGAAGATTGAAGCATTATACATTTTGATAACTCCGGAACGACAGAACAAGCTCTCAGTTAATCACACAAGCACAAAAATCTTATTTCAACTTGGGGAAGCAAAATATTGCTACCAAGACTGGGAATTATTAACCTGCTTTCGAGTAAAAGGGCAAGATGGAGCTTTGCGGTACTAAAGAGACGGACCACAGGTACGACAATTTTACTCGGCCTCCACGCGTCAGCTTCGGTTTCGAGCTAGAATTCCTGGTGGCTGTAAATCCAAAAGAAGTTGAAGCAGATGACAGCATCCCTGGCCTTGCGCCAGCCACGGGTCATTACAATGGCGTAACACCAGTTTTAGAATTGCTACGAGATCATGAATTCTGTGCAAGGACGGTAGAAGAGAATTCTGTCGCAAATCAAAGTCAAAGTGAGACTAAGGAATATCCATGGATCGTCACGACAGACGGCTCAGTGTCAGAGTCTGGAACAGAGTGGGAGAACGAGGCTTATGCGTGGGATGCGGTGGAGATTGCAAGCCCACCGATGTATGCTTGCGATGAAGCATACCGGCTCGTGTCAGTCGTTGTTAGGCTTTTGACTAATAACTTACGTCTTCGGGTCAATACCTCATGTGGCTTCCACGTTCATGTCGGCAATGGGCCCCATCAGATGGACATGGATGCATCGAGAAACTACGCGGCCCTCCAGTGGGCATCCGACCCGGTGCTATCTACACTCCATTCCCGGCGCGAAGTTTTGCTCGTTACTCCAAGTCTATCCGGCGCTTTGCTGGTGTTGAGCTGAGTGACAGCGTGACTGCAGACATCGCACGGCGACAAGTCACAGGGCTGAATTTCATACCTCGATACGTTTCATGGGCGAGGAAGCTCGGAGAAGATCCTGTTGCTTCAAACGTGGCACTGCTCCAACGTATTCGCGAAGCCCACGAGAAGGAAAACGATGGAATATTCCTGGAACCTGAGTGCGAAAGTGATGGTTCCGACTACGAGTGCGAAGACGGCAGACCTTTCGATCGGCCAAGGAAGGCCAAAGGAGTTCGGCGAGAAGCTGGTTATATGCCCTACGTCAGTGAGTTGATCAATGAGGACAAGGCTAAACATTTAGATGATGAATCCAACCGTGCCTGCCGAGATCTACCTCCACAGCTCGATTTTCCAGCCTCCCAGACCATCACTTCTTGTAGGTCATCTGAAGGCGTGCCTCTGCTAGACGAGCAACGGAAGAAAATGAAAGCTGTGGCAAGGCAAGCGGACATCCTATCACCTGTTTATGAAACGGATTATGACAAAGGCGACGGCGATGATGACTCACTAAAAGCATCAAAGGTTGCTTGGAGAGGAGTCGCCGAGCTTATGGCCTGCGACGTGGGCGTGCATCAGGTCGCACATCTCATGTGTGACGCCAGTACTACTCAGAAGTACTATAGTTACAACTGGAGAGGCCAGTTGATGGGTGAGATAGCGCCTATGGTCAGAAAGGAGACTCATGGCACTGTCGAGTCTCGGCTCGCAAGCGGTAGCCTCGATGCCGAATGGATCGTGACCTGGATTAAGATACAGTGTCGTATGCTCGAGTGGGCACGAGACGCCGACCCTTCACAGCTGATGCGTGTCATTGGCAAACTCTCCCTGGACGACGTATCTCGCGAGTGCACATACGACGTCCTGGACTTTCTTAGGGATCTCGGTATGTATACCGAGCTCAAGCACTGTCAGGAGCGTCTGCTCAGAGCTGAGGAGGCATGGTTCGAGTGCGCGATGCTGCAAGTACGTGACTCATCTGACCCGGGAACGTCACCTCATCTAGAGTCTTCGTCTGCAGGTCCCGACAAGGAGGACTCGGGAGACACCCGGAGAGTTCCTGATGACTCAGGAGACACCCGGGGAGGTTCTCATGATGGCGGGAGAAATGAGTGGGAATCTCCCTTTAATCCAGAATTGAGCGGTTGGTGTTAAGTGGCTCTGCTATTAGATAGTTGGTTTGTTTGGCAAGGTGCGTACCCCGTGAGTTTATATCATTATTCCGTTCAAATACAACAATATACCCATACTAGACCAAGCAAGCACTTTCTATGTACAATATGTACAGAATACACATAGAGTTTCATTATGGTTCGGCTGACTGTGACAGCAATTGCTCTCTGTTCCTTGGAGATATCTACCCTACGTAAAGAAGTGGACTCACCGCCTCTTACTACTTTACCCAGCCTTGACTTCTGAAACACAATTATGAAGCTTGACGACATTTATTCCTGGTGTTGCAGGGTTGTGGCTTGAACTATTATCGGGAATAACCTGGGGAAGGGGAGGAAGACCGTTTGTGCGTAGCTTGACGAGTCATTCATCACTAAACAAGCAATGATCAGTTGTACAATGAATTGGAACAGGAATCAAATTAACGCCTCCAAAGGATTGCGGGCATCGAATAATCCTATATAACTTATAGTGGCGTCTAACGTACTGCAACACAATGTAACATGACACATTTCTCACTCTGATCCTCCGTAGAGAAGAAAGACCATGGATATGATTTCAAGTGCTGGCTACCCTATACGCGGAGTGAGCTCCATAGCGGAAGCATGAATAAGAATACGTGGTGTACATTGTTGGTGGCTTATGAGACAAGTCAAGATATAATATAGTGGTCTCAAAGTGGCATGGCCTGTTTTATGCAGAATGAAGCAGAACACAACCCTACAAGGCGATAGCATTGTGACACCAAACAGTCAAGATCGTGATGGATGTGTCGAGTCAAACCAAGTCCAATATCAAACTCGGGTAAAGTTAACCACTGCAAGGTCTCGACGGCACATAACTGGATCGAGAATCGGGCACGGGATATGACCGGAAACCAATTACAAGAATGGGTTAATCATATGAAACACAAAGGCTCAGGATGGGTGAGAACTAATCAGCCACACACGAGGCCATGGTGGCATTGGGCTTATAGCAGGCTGTCAAACAACGGCATGACCTGGCAAAACTCGGCTGTCAATGCGTAGTCGTAGAAAAAACAAAAGAGCGGCATTTACGGAGAGAATGATGATTTGGTGGCAACGACACAGTAACTCGCATGCCACGTTTCATGCGGCCAACTTCTGCGACCCTACCTTTTAGGTTGTGTTCCAGGAACCGGCTCAGGAACGGCAATGGACCAACAGATTGCCTCTAGCCAGCCGTGACCAACTTTTGAGGCCTTCTACCCTGCCTGCCTGCCTGCCTCAGCCCTAGAAGATGTTTGCCGTACGGCAGCAAGAACCTTGACCACGGCCTTGGGATGCGAAATCACAGGACGATCAAGGTTTGTGCCATCCTACGATCTGCTGGCACCGCACACGGCTTGTTCATGGGTTCTGCAGCTGCTATTTGTCCAAAGATCCCTGCCTAATCACAGAGACCGGTGAATTGTCTTTTGTGCCTCGTGCCCGGCCGGGCTGGGCCGTTGAAGAGCCGCACCGTCTTTAAGGAGTCTGTGTAGCAGAGACTCGGTTGAGTTGGGCCGTATACACGATCAAGAAGCAGTGGTCCATTCCATTCCATGTAATAACAACTCTCAACCTTCACGGTGGGTATCTTGTTTTGTGTCTCTGCTGGATTGGGCCGAGGGATGATACGTGAATGCGAGTCAGTCTTGAGTGCATTAGCTACACGGAAGTCAACCAACACTTCTTGTGGCAACGAGAAACGAGGCCCCTTTCATAGAAGAGACAGACTGTGGAGGAGTTGACACTTGAACGGCCTGTTCTTGGTGTACTTGCGTGGCCTCTTGACTGCAGTAGAGTTGCAAGTCTCGAATTAGCCACCGTGAACGAAATATTGGTGGAGAAACTGGCCAGCCAACAAACACAAGCCAACGCAGTCCACTCCGGTGCTTGCTTGCAGAGTTTGCATCTTAGGTAGAGCTGAACGACCGAAAAGAAGGCCGTTACGATCCGTTGCTTAACGGATCTATCGAAGCATCAAAATTCTTATAAGCCTCGGAAAATACAAACCACATTCTTTGAGGTCAGACGGACTCATCATCTCAAGCAGGGATGATGCCTGTGCCGAAACCCTGCCGACTTAGTTTAGCTTGCCGCAGCCTCACAACCGTGCAAAAGCCAAGACCAGCCACAGTCATGGAATAGGCATTTGAAATGGTCTCCTTATCTTTTACAGAGTGAGTAGTTATAGTTATAGTATATACGGAGGTCCCTACTAAAAGTTTTGTCCTACGCTAAAATTACTAGTGCTATTAAAAGTAGATTAGTACTTCTAAATAAGTTAATTTCTTACTAAATAATCCCTACCTTTCTTATACTTATTTCCTCCTTTTAGCTTAATAATTTTTTCTATATAATAAGATATCTATTTAATCTATACTTAGATCTTTTTTTATAGTATTATTAACTAAGCTACCTTTTACTTATAAATAGCTTTATATTTACTTTAAAGTATACCTTTTTTTATTATTTTTTTCTTTAAATATAGCTAGGTAGCTTTAATAGTATTTAAATTAAAGCTATTTCTATACTAAAGAAGTTACTATATATTAGTAAGGTTAAAGACTTATTATTATATATAGTAGCTATATATTAGTACCTTATTTTTCTAAATAACTATACTAAGCCTCTTTTTTTTATATAACTATATAAAAGGAAGTAATTTTAAAATAAAAATCTTCTTTTAATATTACTACTAGTTAATACCTTTTTTTTTTCTTTTTTTATAAGTTTTTTATTTTTTTTATTTTACT